AGGTGGAGTTGTCCGAGGAGGAAGAAGGAGATAGGACTGCGGATGAGGTTCGGGAGGCGCAGGTAGCTCTAGGGGAGCTGTTGTGGGTCTCGACCCGAACGAGGCCGGATGTGGCGTTCGCAGTGGGTCAAGCGTCCAGGATGGTGGCGCGGAATCCGAAGCAGGCGTTGCGGGCGGCGAAGCAGATCCTGGGCTATTTGAAGGAGACGGACGAAGTCGGCATCATCTACAAGAAGGAAATGAAGCCGAGAGAAGGGGAAGCCGAATTCCCGGGGGCCCAGGAGATGGGAACGCTGGAGATTCAGGCGGACGTGAGTTTTGCACCAGGAGGAGGACGGTCCATTCAGGGAGTAATGGTGATGTATGGAGGAGGCTTCATTGCGTGGGAGTCCACAAGGCAGGCGTACACCACGATGTCCACGGAGCTCACGGGCTATGTGCAGGCCACGGCTATCGGAGAGGCGGTGTCATCGTTGGTGGAGATGTTGGAGGTGAAGAAGGTTCGGAAGATGATCTTGGGAGACAATGCGGCGGCCATCAGCATCATTACGACGCCAGCGTGCGCGTGGAGGTCAAGGCATCTGAAGTGCCGGGCAGGGAAGCTGACGGAGCTCATTGAGGAAGAGGACTGGCGCTTGAGGCACCTTCCGGGAACTCTTTTGGCGGCGGATGGCCTCACGAAGGCGTTGACCAGGACCCAGATTGAAAAATGCAGGAGAGGAATGGGCCTGGAAACTCTGGAGGAGAGGAAGGTGAAGAAGGTGCTGCGGAGCAAGTCCAACGGCATGTTCGGAGCGGCAGGATGGTTGGTGGTTGACAAGCTGAAGGCGGTGATCGGCATGCTCAGCCTGGCGGCAGGGGCAATGGCAGAGGATGTGGTGAACATCGATGAGGAGTCGATCCCGGTGGAGTTGATCCTCACGGTGGTGGCGGTTCTGGCGGTGGTGGTTTGGGAGATCACCAAGAAGGCCTGTGGGACAAAGGTGAAGAAAGTAAAAGGACCGGTTGAAGAACCCAGTCAAGAAACGAAAGGACCGCAAAAAGAGGCTCAGGGCCCACCGAAAGAGACGGCGGCAAGTGGCACCGCAGGGGGGACTGAATTTGAAGGGTCCGGACAGGGCTTCCTGGGGGGGAGGACTACCGGCAGTCCAAGAGACCAGGGACCGTGGGAGGACGGGACAGACAATGACGGGACAGACGATGGGATTTGGCCCGGGACGGGTGCACCCTTGCCTAAGCAGGCACCCCGACCGAATAGGTCATGTAGATCCGGGGCAAAGTCCCAGGAGCAAGACTTGGTGGTAGTGTGCCATGTGCGTGATGGTGCCGGGGGCAAGCAACCGGTGAGGGCGCCGAGGTCAGTCTTGGGCACGGAGCGCATGGAGTACTATCGGAGGATGGAGCAGCTCTCGGAGGACAGATGGGCCTTCTTGGAGGCGAGGAATCGGGGAGTTCCTCTGCATGGACTTCAGGGAGCGCTATGGCACGAAGGAGGATGGAACCCTAGGCCTGGGGGAGCTGGTCAAGGAAAAGAAGAAGGAAAAGCGGGGTATGGGCAAGGAGATGAAGGTGATCTATGGCACGATCATGGGGCGGCGGAGGGGCGTCAGCGAGGTTGGTGCCGAGATCGGGCAGCGACAGCTGGACCAATAGTTTTGAGTGGCGCAGCATCCAGTTTGGAGCAGGAGAAGGGCGCGGACAAGAAGTGATGGCATAATAGCCTTTTGGGCGTCCGCAGCCCAGAGTAGCGGGGCCAATAGTGCCAACCGCGAGGTGGATGTAGGACATCCAGGGGGAGTGTGAACCCGTAATTTGCGGGCACATTCGTGGCTCAAGGAACAAACAGCGCGGTGCAGCGCACATAGTTACAAAAGGGACATTGAAGAAAATAGCGTGCAAAGGCTGCTCAAACACGCAGAGTTTGAGGGCCTCTAGTAGTGTCATCATTTGTATGTGTTCATGGTGGCTCTTTCGATTCCAAGACGTTTGGCAGGCGTAAGTTCATAATTGCACGAGAAGACTTCGTACGACGGACACATTGCCGTCGTACGGGCGTCCGCTTTTCTGCAAAGCTGTCGTCGTGTGTCCAGCAACAAGCTTCAGCATTTAAACTACCAAGTACTCTGCAGCAAGCTGAAAGATCATGATAGTGCTTCAGAAGTCTTTGCCTTATTTTCCTCCAAGGGAATGGCGGCATGTTTGATGTAAGACCTTGTGCCAAACATTTGTGACATGCCAGTCCAACCAAACCTTGCAAATGCAACACAAGTTGCAAACTTTGACTGAAAGCGCGTAGCCAATCAAGCAGGTTCCATGCATCTGTCCAGAGCACTCATACGATTTGTGCAGCTCAAGTCATATTGAACGTAGCACACAGAAACAAGCAGCGGTGGGACATGGCAAAGGCAAACGGAACAAGCCATTCAAATCCTCAGCAACAAAGGAAGCATAAACAGAAAGCTTGCCCACCAAGCCGCACATCATTCGGGGGCTGCTTTGTCTCCCGCGAGCTCGCTACAGCATCTGAGATTCTTTTACCCAGAGTCTGGGCAGACGCCTCATGAGCGTAGCCATTTGAAGGCATGGATGTCACCTCTATCTATCGGCAAGGCGGCATTTGGGACAAGCTGTCGAAGGTTCTTGCCTTGAGTACCTACTATGCCATATGTGGTACACAGCTGGTTGTGTGTTCTCACCCAGTCGCGAAATAGTTCTGCAGAGTGCATCTGTTTGGGGTTGGAAGTCTAAAAGCACCTTCAGGAACAACACAAAGCCTGCCAAAGTGCATGAGCTTATTACCCATAGACGTGGAGGGCAGAAATCCAGGCCATTGGCTGCTCGTTTGATGTGTGGCACCCATGAGATAGGTGCTTGATCGGCTGCAAGGGTCCAATAACATCTCGTCTCACCATCAACGCTCCGAGCCACAAGCGGCTTTGAAAGACACACGAGCCATAAGTCTATGGCAATTCCGAGCGGTACTGAACACAGCACGAACAAGTGAACATATTGAGCAGTCTGCCCTGCTTGAACTCATGCCTCTCTGCCCCTCTGAACTCCCACCATGGACCACGGTGACGCGCCCACGCTGACGGCCCTTTTGGCGCTCACAGCGCCTCGGCCGAGCGCTGGCACGGTGGCTATGAGGCAGGCCTGCGGCTTTTAGTCAAACGATGCGAATACCCTTCACCTGCAACATGCAGCAGCAAGACAGTGAGCTTGTCATCCCGGTCATCCATCGCAGCGGCATTTTTGTCCGGCAGGGGCGCGGGCCCTCAGTGAGCACAGCTGAGCTCAACGTCGGTTTGTTGCGCCCACCTTTTCTCCAGCCGGTGCAGAAGAAGCTCCAACATAAAGGTGACGTAGACCACCACGCCGAGGGCTAAAGTAGAATAGAGCCATAGCCGCCCAAAGCTTAGAGTTGCACCACCGAAAACTGAGGCCGCGTAATCCATCCAGGTCCAACCTGCATTCATGCCAGCGGCCATGCTCAGCACACCCCACATCGAGGGCCTTGACTCACGAATCCAAGCAAGGCCCATAACAAGGGCGCAAATTAAGGTGACCGTCACAGATTTCAGTAATTGGTTGCTGCTGGGCAGCAGGGCGTCCAGCAAGCCTTTCCACGCCCACCCAACAACAAAGTCCCCTGACTTGATCAGAAAAAGCCGCGTTCTCTTCAAAATATCAGGCATAGTTTCATGCTTCTCCAGCCCAGCCCTGGCCCGACTCTGCGCGAGCGGAACAAGCGTACTTGCCGACAGCACATAAAGCAGCTGAAAGTCCAAACGCGACCACCTCTCCCCAGCCAGCGACTTACAGACGTTGTTCACAGCAAAGCCAACACCCAGGGCCAGGCTTGCTGCCAATTGGCCCCAAGCGCTGCCCCGTCTCTCCAGCAAAACCTGCAGAGTTGCGGAGGCAAAGGCTACGGCCACAGCCAAGCCAGCGTTGAAGAGCGGCATCGGTCTCGACTGGCAAGCACGGCAGTCTGTGGCTGCTGTCACAAAGTTACTGACCGCGTCCTTCCAGGCCCAAGCGGGGATTAAAGCAGAGCCTGCAACCAGCGATTTCTGCAGCTTGGGCGGCAGCTCCGCTGTAGACACCCTCTCGTGCAAAAGCAACGAAAAATACGTGAGCATGATGAAGGTACACAAGCTGACGAGGAAATTGTTTATCAAAGTGTGTTGTTGCACCTCGCCTTCCGTGTCTGGCGCAGAGCTTTCAAACTCCTGAGCTGCAATATGAATGCCGTGGTCAAAAATGAGGTATGCCAGCGAGCAAGAAAGGGCATTCTTCAGCAGCCATCCTGCCATGATGACCTCAGCTCAAACACCCCACAACATGCGAAACACGCACACGCCGCTCAGCAAATTGCAGACGTCTCGTGTATGCGCAGATCAGCAGATGCTCTAAACAGCTAGGAAGATGCTGACACTTAACATCTTCACACAGTGCCAGGCCACTGCGCTTTTCTCGGTGAGAAGGGAGCGGCAACTGTCGATAAGGCTGAGCCTCGCTTGCGTCATGGCTGGTGCGCGAACCTAAGGCTATTGCCAATGGATGTCAGGAAGCTCTGCAACGTTGCGACGTGTCAAGAACTATCCGGGTGTGCTGAGAAGCTCGGCAGCTGGTGAGAACCGTGGACCCAAGCTGCACAAACATACTTCGGTCATGAGTTATCATAAGCCATGGGCTTGAATCAATGCGAGGCATTCACAGTCTGTCTTAGCTGTTCGAGGGCAAAGCAGTCAATCCATATCAAATCCCGCACCGTTGTCATCATGGCCAGTCGCATCTCCTCAAATTCTCACTCTGATCCAACAGCTGCGGTCATTAGCATACTGGCAGGGTGCCTCAGAGAGGGGAAAAAAACAAAACGAGAGGCCCAGCTTTGCCTAGATTGTTGTAGGCATGGCATGCATTGCGCATGCAGAAGCGGCTGAGGCTCGAAATCACGCAGGTAAGTTCGCCATCTGCGAAACCACTGGGCCCCGCGCTCCCAGGGCATGGCGCCCAGGCTCAGCCTTGCCCGAGGCCGATCAACGCCAAGGCCCCTCTGAAAACTCTGGCCGCATCAATTTACGGCACGGGGACAGCGCATTTCGGAGCCCAGCATTTGAATTGCAAGCTTTGCAAGTTGCAACGGGGTGGGTCAGTCAGTGAAGAAATGCCATTCGCCCTTGTTTTCGTCACACCCACGCGCTCTGTGCTTTCCAGAGGCCTGGCGCGATGTTGAATGGCATGAGTATGGCTGGACCGACAGCCGTCGCTCTTGGGCTTGTCAGGCTCTTGCCGAAGGTGGTTAAGGCTATGGTGGAATCAACAAATTCCATACATGCACGAGTCCTAAAGTATCTCCTCCCGAGCAAAATGCATGCCTGCCTGCAACTAGGTCCAAAACTAAGGCATGCAACACATTGCACACCCTAAAAGCTCACGATCAGTTATTTTGCAATGAAACTCTCTTTTTGGTGACTCCGCTGCGTAAAAATAGGCTCCGAAAAATATGTAGGTCAGCATGGTCAGCTCAGGTTGTCTCGACAAAGGGTGACTGGGACTTGGAGACCCACTGCTACCATCACCTCAATACATGCAACAAGACTAGAAATATATTTAAAACAAAGAGAAAAAAAGGAAGGGAAAAAACAATCCAAAGAGCGTATAGTCAATATACCACACGCAAAGTCACAGCAACCCTTGCTCCGTTGCTCCCACCTGAGCCAGGGCCGAGAGTTGCAAAGGTTCAGCACTGAGGCGGCAGGGCCCGGCTGGCCGCGCAGCTCACAGGTCTGGCAGGCAGGTCGCTTGAAGTGTTCCCGCCAGTTCCGCGAATAAGAAATAATTTCATAATTCTGGCAGGCTGAATTCACCAAAAAAAACAGCAAGCTACAGCAATTTCGGCAAAGAACAATCAAGTCCAATGCTGGAGCCTCTCCGAGCAGTCACTGAATGTTCACGGGTTGTATGAGCAACGAGGAGAAACATCGAGCAACCGTTGCATGGACAGGGCGAATAGCTGCAATTTGCTATGAACTGCTACAGGAGCAAATGCGACACCGGCCCAAATTCATGGACATTGGCATGCTGCTGCTGACTGCAGCTAGCAGTCAGAAAACTTAGACGAGACAGCGGGCAGTCATAGTATGAGATTTCAAAGTTAAGAAGACAGCTTCAAGGAGCAGAGTTCAATCTCCAAATGCAAGTACATAAGCAGCCTTTAGACAAACTAAGTGAAGCTTCCCTTTTCCATGGAATATCCATTGATTCGTTGCATCCACTTGAAGCAATCCAAACCGGAAGTGGAAGCTAGCTGCGATCGCAGGTATCCGCTGCCTGCACCGTGGCTTCGAAGCTCACCACATCGGGGAGGATGCGATCCTCCTGGCCGGCCCAACCGGGGATTTTGACCACGCCTTCCTTGAGCAAATCCAAACTTGGCGCCAACGGGCGCAACTGAGCAGACGCTGGGTGTAATTTAGGCATAAAAATGACACCAAAACACAAGCATCTACAAAACAACAGAAAACGGAAAGGACATGTAACCACTCATTTAAAACACAAAACGAGAACAAAACGAACAAGCACCAGCTCCTGCATCTCCCTGAGCAGCTGCAAGGAGCCCCGCCAATTCCGCGCTTGGCGCCAGGCGCTGTGCACCGCGTTCTCCAACAGCAGGCCAGGGGCTGTGCCTTTCTGACAGCCGGTGCCAAACTTGCGCGGACATTTGAAGGCCAACACCCGGATCAGTCCCAGGTGCCAGCTGAGTCTTTGTCCGCTTTGCGAGTTCGGGTTGGAGAATACTCTTGGAACGCGTGCTATCAATGTGGAGTGGTTCAGGGCTTCTGTCCACCCAAGAAAGTGCAGGAGACGGATTTTCGGAGAAAGGCAAGTCCTTCCCAACGCCGCGCCTTCGCACTGCGCCGCTTCATGCAGGGCCAAGACATGCTGCCATTGGCTCATCTGCGCGCCGCATTCACTCCCAGGCACCCAAAAACTACGCAAAAGTCGGAAGGGAAAAAGGGCAAAATGAAGCACAGAACAAACAAGCAGAAGTTAGGACCACCAGCTGCTTCCTTGGCACCGCACGCCGGAATGCAAACACATGAGTCCAAATGATCCCTGCTGACGCTTGCATTGCAGTGGCAAACAGGAGCGGCTCACAAGGTATGAAGCGGCCGCGGGTCATCAACAAATGCAGACAAGCGCGTAAGTGCCAAATACTGGTGCCGGCGCAAACAAGGTAACCCAACTGCAAATAGCAGCAACAGCAGCAGCAGCCGCAGCAGCAGCCAAATCAACTCGTGTTTTGCGAGCATGTTGATCCAGTAGCAAACATCGGACCTAGCCTGAACCCCACTCATCTGTCAACAGGTTCCTTGCGGCCTCCTGGCAGGCCCCAGCTGCCGCGGCAAAGGTGATCTCATCGCAACGGGCACCTGTCGGGCAGGACCCTTGCCGTCAAGTACAAGAACCAAATTCACCAACAATCTTCCCTGGTTCGTCTGCTGCCTTTGGGCTTGCTCTGATGCGTGAGAATGCAAGCAGGTCGGAAGAGGGCTTAAAGAAATGCCTGCTGTGGCCAGTGCCGCCAGCGCAGGCAGCCACCGCTGCTTGCAGGCCATTGCAGCAGCGTTCTTGGATGAAGTGGTGGTAGTCATGCGGTGCTGCTGCGCCTCAAGTCGAAAAGGAATGGATGGCACGCAGAATGCAGGATCCATATCACTTCAAGCACCTCACTACTTGAACCACCTTGTCGCATTGACCGATCACCACGTCACCTGCTCGTGGGTTACAGTCATCAAACAGAATTGTAGGGAAGCCAAGTGACATAGCACCAACAAGCAATTGCAACAGCTGCCACAAGCTGAACCCAGGCCTCCAGAAGTAGGTCTGCCGCTTTGCTCCAGCCCATGCTCTCCTGACACGACTTCAGCAACGTTGCCAGGCCGAGGGGGTCGTTGCCCAAGGCTGCCCGGTGCTGGTGGAAGAGCTCAGGTGCTAGCTGCCACTGCTGGCCTGCGACAAAGGCATTGGGCGCTCTTTGGCCCGGAGGCACAAGAAGCACAACGGGTTTGGTTGCGAACCACGCGCAACATGTGGGCCGTGTGCATCTAATCTACAGGCTCCGCGCCTGCTCCGACCGCGCTGGTGACTGAATTGTAGGTGACAGCGCTGGGCGAAGTTGTGGTCAGGGCATCCTCCAGCAAAACCACGGCAACCGTCCACTGCTGGCCGCCCTCTGCGGCGGTGATGGCACCTCACTCTCTCACTCACTGACTCTCTCACTCACTCCCAATCTCTCACTCTCCCTCCCTCTCTCACTCACTCACTCACTCACTCGCTCCCAAGATTACCTCTCTCCCTCTCTCTCCCTCTCACTCACTGACTCACTCACTCACTCAGTCACTCACTCACTCACTCACTCACTCACTCGCTCGCTCGCTCGCTCGCTCGCTCAATCCCTTCCTCCGTCACTCACTCTCTGTGTCACTCGGCAATGATTTCGCCACACCGCTCACCCATGACATGGGCATAACAACAGCCCTACAAAAAGTGTCAGCGGGTGCTTCGACATGGCAAGTGTAGGTGGCATTTCTTCCTGCGTGCAGCACACATGCAAAGTTCTGTTGGCTCGGCTGCCCCCCGCGCTCGACCGCAGGCGCTGTTGAAGCTGATGGCGTCCGGCTGCAGCCGTCGCCGCGGCAGCCGTGCCAAGTGCCATGCGGCCGCACGCCAGGCCGAGGCCACGGCCAAGTCGTGGGTCACCGTGTTGTGGCTGATGAGGTTCAAACGAAGCCCCGCGTGGCTGAAACCAAGGCCTGGCACGCAACATGGCAACATGTGGAGGCTCAATGTGCTCAAGGTGTTCAAGTCTAGAGGCTCAAAACGAGGGACATGTGCAAAAGCAGTTGGACAAGACAATCAACAATCAGTCAAGTGGCGCCAATGTTAGGATCCAGCACAATCTGCAAATACTGGACATTTCTGGACTGGATGCTGCTCGAAGGAATCAAGCACTCTTGAGCAAACACCGCTCGCTCTTGCGGAGCAGACATCGCCCAAGCGGCAAACAATTGTCAACTCATATGGCTTGCAACCCGTTTCCTACAGCCAGCGCCCGGCGCCATGCAGCACCCAGTGCCGCCACCGCGGCGTTGGCAAAGGCCGGGTCTGGCCGCGCGGGGCCGAGCCGGAGGCTGCGTTGCCAGTGCGCCTGACGGAGCTGAGACGTGGGGAGTGAAGAGTCACCAGGGCACGTGAACCAAAATGAAATCAGAGGAGGAAAGCTTCTTTGGCAGCATGAGGTCTTTCCAAGCAAAAATCGGCAACCGTTGGGGGGCGCATGGACAAGCTTGGTCAGGCCTCGCCCAGCATGGTGGCAGCTGCAGTAAAGCTCACCTGAGATGTGAGATTCAGTCAGATGCATCGGAAAAACCAAACTTGAGCGGAAGGGGGTAGCTTCATCGAAACAAAGGCCTCAGAGATGTAGGCAACAGCAGCGGGTTATGTTGAAGGACAAACCTGGTTCAGGGCAAGGGCAGCATGGTGCGACTGGATTGAAAGAAGTCCGAGCTGTGTCCCGGTAGGGTGGCACTGCCGCAGTTTCAAGCACAGCTTTTTCGAGCGCAGAAAATTGCCGAAATCTGTTTGGGGCAGTTAGTTTGTCGGTTGCCACGGGCCTGCACGCATATGCGCAAGGTGCATCATTTTTGCAGAGGCTGCCAAATCAGAATCCGCGCTTTCTCTGCACCACTTCTCGAGTCATGAACGATTTCGACGTGAGTTCAGTCGCAGAAAGAGGCTACCAATGATTAAGGGGGGCGGACCAGGGAGGAGTCGAAGGGGGGGAGGAAAGGCTTCCTTTAATTCTCTCAGCGGGATGCCCTCTCCTTGCACGCGGTTGACAAGGCCCTTTGGCATTGCCATCCTGAAAGGTGGCAGAGCAGCAAGCAAACTTTTTCTTTTGGAATGTCCAGGCTCACCTACAAGGCAAAAGCAACTTTGTAGCAAGTGGCAGTGGTTGGCTCCACCTCCGACATTGCCATGTCCTGGCGCGGCAGGTGGTGGCAATTGATGGTGCTACTTCCTAGAGGCCCCTTTATGATTCAAACTGTTTCAGCAGCTCCAACTGCAGTCGACTTCCCCTCCGCGGCTTTTCAAACATCAATTTTTTGTTCGCAAAAGTGTATTGGGTTGTCAAGGGAAAACTGCATCAACACGAAAAATATTGTGTAAACAGTGCTGCCACAAAGTACCATGAGCCAGCACCCAGGAACGACATGCCCCTTGACAATCAGCTAAGTTCTGCTAGACAGGTTTCTAGATGGGGGTTGGCGGGGCATGAGTTGTGCAAAAGGATGAAAACGCGGTGTGGGTCTTATGATCAGGTTGTTTGATTATGATGTCTGTCTCTGTGTGTGCTGGCTGTGCCCTTGGCCATTCCCAGTTCCCACGTTGAATTTGACTACATGAGTGCGAGCGAACAGTGCCGATGCTTGAGCAGCAGGGTTTCCCTACAAATAGGATCTAACCCAACGACGAGCAATGAAACACACTAAGCCGGAACATCTGGAAGCCAGCGAGTCCGAGGATACTGCGTGCGTCATTGATTCACACCTCTCGCATGCGTTGGGTGCCTCAAGCCAAACAGCTTGCTTCGGGCTGGCTTCCCTATGACCGTCCGACGGCAGGCCTGCAGCAGGATGCTTAGCTGCCACTCCCCCGCGTTTGCTCCCGCGGTCATCACCGCATTCCGCGCCTCTGAGGCCCGCGCGAAAGACAAAGAAAGGCCGTTGGGGGTCAGTAAAAACGCAACAGGCCACAACGACCGCTCACTTTCTGGACACATTTGATGCAGATGTATCGTTCGACCCTACTGGCCTACAGCCCGCCCCCTCCTGTTCAGCGTTGCAAGGTGATTGGAGCACATGTTCCACTGAAGTGCTTGCATGCAGCCTGGCCATCTTGATCGCAAATTGAAGATTCTCCGTTTGCAAGGCAAACAAAACAAACAACAAACAAACAATCAAGCAAATGCCAGCAAATGCGACGTATCCTCACCTAAGTTCTTGACATTGCCAGATTCAGGAGCAAACGAAGCCTTGTGCCGATGACAAGGCGATGGCAATCGCGGCCTTCACAGCCACAATGGCCTGAAAACCCGGACGGATCCCAGTACCAACTCTAAGTAACGAGTAAGCTTACCAAATCCTCAGCAAACAGAACAAACCAGAATAAACCAGAAAATGGGTCGGGTGGCACCGCACTGATCGGCCAAGTGGCTAAAGCTTCAGCACTGCCTGCCTTGGCCAGGCAGGCCAACGCAGCCCTCCAACCAGATCCTTTCTCGTACGCGCTGCAAGCCTTGGCTTAGGGTTGCTTCCCGAAACGGCTGCAGCTCAATCTGATGCTTGGCTCCTCTTCACGTGTTTCATGCAGCATGCCTGCCCACTCCTACTCCTACTTGTGCCGCCAGTTTGCGTTCCAGGAGAAAGGCGAGTGCATTCAACTCGGCAACTGCACCGACGTGGGCTGACGAGGGCGTTGAGATACAGTGCCCAAACGGGCGCCCGAACAAAATGTAAAGAAGACAGCGCTCTGCCGGACGCCGGTGAGTCATGCTGCCATTGGGCCATCTGAGGCATACATTGGCGTCTGCCTGCCAAAATAATTACATGCAACCACCCAATGCCAAAGCGACAAAGAATGCTTGCGCCTAAACGCCCCCAGAGCTTCTCTTTGATTGGGCTGCTGGGCTAATTAGAACTGCTCCAAGTGAGCTTCCACTCGAAATAGTGGCGCAACTTGAAACAAACATGCCTGCCAAGTAGACGGCACAGCCAAATCCCCCTACTAGTTAAAGGGAAAACCCCAAAACAAGCAGATGTAGGCTTCACATTGCCAACCACACGTGAACCTTGGCAGCCCGACATGCCTCATGCTGCCACAGGCGCCACGTTGGCCCAGTCGGTCCCCCTGGCTGCTAGCTCAAGGGCAACGTGCCAGGCAGTGTTGCGAGACGCAGCGCCGCAGGCGGAATTGCAGCAAAACACGTCAGGGCGCAGGCCTCGGGCAAGAAACTTACGATCAATATTGATTGATCGAACATCTATTCAAAAGAGTCAAATATTGGTTTTTCGCTCTACCAAACTGTAGCTGCTCCACCCAACCACGCTTGGCAATCATTCTTCTCAGTCATGTTTTGGCAGAGCATCGCCATCATGATTGCATGTCAACCTCGTTGCCGAACATGAAGGCATCGTTCTGGCACCTTCTCGTTGTGCGCCGCCGGGCTGCATAACAATCGTACTTGACGCCAGGACAGCCCACGCTCGATTCAAATCTTTGCAAGACATCCTGCCTCCTGACTTGAGCAAATCTTGCAAAAGCTGCACGGCGTGCTGCCACTGCCGCCTCTGGCCCAGCACGCCCAGGGCCAATGCCACGTCCTAACAGGGAGATGCGCATCGCAAATGCGACCCTCCTTGAACCCTCGAAAAGGCCACGTTGGTGCAACGCGCTGTTCATTCCAAGCAGAAGTGACGGCCCAGCCCTTCGCTCCAAAAGCTCTTTGCAGAAGCCATTTCACAATTGGCAAGAAACATCAAGGCTGCCGTCTCCGCCAATGCAAAACTGTTCCCAGGCTTTCCAGGCTAGCTACTTAAAAAAGGTCACCAACCACAAATGCGCAATCAGGGCTTGAAGTAGCGCTTGATCATGGCATGCTCCTTGGTGGACCCCTGCAGCTGCAGAAGTGAATCGATGGCCGCCAGCAAAGCTGGCTCTGAAGTGCCCGGGGTGCGGAGGAACTGTAGGAGTTCCTGCACAGCAGCACGGACGAATCGCAGTGTGACCATAACATTGAGCCTACGTCAGCAACGCCGTTGCAATCGTGTGGCCGCTGCGAAGACAAATTTATGCGACACGGTCATGTGAGAGCTGCCCAAGGGGTGGGGTGTCTGGTGCACTCCTGGATAACGAAAGAAGTGGAACACCGCCTCCCTTCGGCCCCTCAACCACCGAAAAAGTCAGAATAGTGCGGCTGAGGGCGTTCCGGTGGAAAACCATACAACCGAAAGCATGCTCCGCGTTTTGGAACGGCTACGTGACTTCACCCATCGCTACACCTCCTACCAACATTGATGCAGACTTGATTTAGTTCAATGGCAAGGCATCAGCAGGACCTCAGGCCTGTACTGTTCTCAATATGTCAAGCAAGCCAGTAAACCAACTGTTTAACTGTTGGTGCAAGAGTCCAAGAACTACACTCTTGATTATTTTCGTTACGTCGCCAAGTCACAATTCAATCTAAACTGTACCAATGCATCTTCACCTGCTCCCGCCCCACCTTGCGGCTCCGACCGTGCATGGCGAGCCATGCTGCACCGGCATTCCATGGCGCAGCCGCCAAGTGCTTCTGCCCCTCTGGGTTTGCCAAACATGAGGAAGCGCGACAGCCAACTTGTTAAAGGTGCTGCAGGCCCAGGGGCAGGTAATGTCAATTGCAAAACCTTGAAGTCAATCGAAGAAGCTGATGAAAATTGGACGACCTAAGCCTAGGGCGACCCTCGAGAAACATGCCAGCCACGTGGCCTTCTCAGCATGATCTGGTGAGAGCTGGTGACGGGGGACTCAAATCAAGGCTTGACCAAAAACGGCAAGGCAACCTGCCAGCATCACGTCCCCTCAGCATTGCAATGGGCGCCGCAGCCGCAAGGAACACAGTATGAGCGTGTGCTGCAAACGGGGCCAGAGCTTTGCTGAGCGGCTTTCTCAGGTGCTACAAAGCAGGCGACCAGCCGACCAGCTGCCAAACTTATCGAAACTTACAGGGTTCCTTGCAGGCTACAGGATCAAAGGAACACCCCTGAGCCCTTGGAGACGATTGCGATGCGTAGCGCCTGGCTGGGAGCTGAAGCCTCCAGCTCGGCTTTCCTGATCGGCTCAGTGAGTTAGCCCTGCCGCGCACCAACGTCCTTTGAGCCTTTGACGTCAAGCATTTAAGAGTGTCACACATTGCTACAAATGGCAGAATCATAACTTGTGTAACTTATGACTTATCACAATGCCCCCTGCTGCAGCGATCAAGTGAATAGAGCCCTATCGAATGCAACGCCGCAGCAGCAGGTCCAGAAAGTACGATCACTGTTCAATGCTTGTCCGGCAGTCCTGGTGGGACCTGCCAGAAGCATTGAAGCGGCCGGGTCAAAACGCTTGCAGTTTCGCGGCCTGTCTGCCCAAAAAGAAAGGTCAGGCCCTTGTTCCACAAAACTGGCAAGGTATCTGTTTTTGAACCATGAGACCTGGCGCAAACCTGGCATTGGGCAGCCTGCAGGGCTGCTGCTCTACGTTCTACGTGCCTGCCCACGGCAAGAATTTCACAAACGTCTCAAGCTCGTATGCAAACTTTGTGGCACCCAGCGCTTCTCTAGTCTACGGCTCTTGCCTGTCATGCTGCGCAGGATGTTGAGGTACTCCTCCTGCAGTAGGTGTGCGGAAAATCAAAGCATTCCCCCACATACCGACAATGACTGCAAAACAAAGCTTGCGCAAACGGCCACGCCATGTCTTCACCCATGTGCTCAGGGTGATGCACATTGGCCACTGAGCCTCTTTCGACGGATTTCTTGGTGGGCCAAGCTATTGACACAAGCGTTCACCGACAAAATGCTCTCCTGCTTGATGACCCCAGTGCTATAAAGCGCCTTGGGAGGGCTATGAAGGTCAGGCTCAGACATGCCAAGTATGTTCTGCATTTGCCACGGGCGGTTCCTTATGGGCGGCAGCATCCGAGAGCTGCATGACCGGCCCGCAAGTCTGCAAGTCAGGAAAGCACCGTAAGGAGTCAAAAAGATGGTTGCCTCAGTTTGGAAGTGCTCATGACTTTTCAATTTGCGGCTGTTGTCAATAACTGGGCTGGTGCAGTCAAAGGAGGTGCAGTTGTGTGCTTCACCCCTCCACTGCACTGTTCGCAGTCGCTTTTGCGAATGCGATTCCACGGGCAATGGGACTGCTGCAGGCTCTCTGCTTTTGCAGGGAAGAAGCTGCACAGTTCCAATGAAGAGCGTGAGGCTGTCCTTTGCCAGCCCACATGCTCCAAGCGGTTCTCGCCTACCAGTGGATCCTGCAGTAGGCTTTGCTGCATCAGGAACAATCTGCGAGGCAGCAAACCCACATGTTGCTTGTGAAACCATCATGGTGGCATCAGTGGTTGCAGCGAGATCTGTACAAAGAAGCTGCATTCCTTTGTGCCGTCCAAATCCAACTTCCACGTGGTCTCAGTGGGCTCAGTGCTTGCAGGCAATCCTTGCAATCCTGCTGCCCGTTTCTGTTGCATCCAATGTTTCTGGTTCTTCTTCATGGACTCAATCTTCTTGCCAGACAAGAGTTGAATAGTCTGCTGCGCTGTTGTCTTTCCCCTGTATACCACTGTAGCTGTAAAGTCATCCCTGGGATCCCGCACCAAGAAGTACAAGGCATAATCCCACACCACTGCCTCCTGTCCAAGTAGATCCACCTTCTCCAAGCTGTCATGTGGCGCCTTGTCCAAGACATCCTGGACCTTTTCCAGATCCATCTCGAGGCATTTCGCCACGGACGCTTTGTCGAACTTGGCGCAAAGCCTCTGTATCCACTTGGTGGTCTCGGGCCTATCGGCAGTCTCTTCCACTTCGGAGGACCGGACAGAAGTGGTTGACCATTGCATGACTCCTCGTTTCAACCCTTGGCATGGTGGCAAAATACTGCGTCTTTTTGTTTTGGTCGGCCCCACTACTGAAAATGAACCGAACATACAGAACCAACAGCAACGATAAACCGAAAGACTTGCCAACAACAACGATGTCCTTCAAAGCTGACGCCCAGAACAACTCCGTCGTGTACATCTTCAGCAGGAACAAGGCCCTCGCGGATACACACGCGGAGCATGGCAGCAGCCGGGCGGCGCTCCACGGAACACGGGCGGCAAACCCGGAAGTTGCAGGTAGGGCACTCCTTGCCATCGAAGGACCCGCAGGGAGTGCAAGACAGCTTCCAAGATTTCAAGCTCGCGCCACAAAGAGAGCAAGAGCTTCGAGTTGCCCCTGGATTGCCACCTGGATCAAGCAGGTCGCACTTCTGATTGCAACTCACGAAAATCGGGTCAATTGTGACCATATCATCGTCAACCTCTCGGAAGAAGCAGCGGATCTTCACCTCGCCCTTGTCACCACTAAGTGGCCACCATTTCTCCTGTCCTGCCTTAGTCAGCTCAGAGACTGTTGGACGCCTGCAAGACTCGCCAGACTCCTTGACAACCACAAAGCCCAAGAGGTCGTCAAAGCTAATTATGTCAGAGTCGTAGACATCCACAAAAACGTGCTGCTCCATGTGATGTATCAAGAAATCGCGGGAGTGAGCCTGGCCCCACACTGGGTTCAGCGTCCTCTTCAGCTTGGCGGTCTGCCATTGGCTGCTCCCAATCTTCACTACGACATAAGGGTCAGAGGAACCACCGGCAAAGCCGAAGTCTGCTATAGGCAGGTCTTTGGCCTCCAGAATGGCCATGTGGAGAACGCCGATGGGATCAGGCGTTCGATAGCTTTCAACGCGACTTTCCAGGGGCTCCTTCCGGGAGCTGGCGAGACCTGCAATGTCGATGTAGACGCGGCTGGGGACGACCAAGGGTTCGAAGATGGCGTCCACGATCGTCTTCTCAACTGTCCCAGCCAAGGCCTTGAAGGCAGAACCTATGCCGGTCCACTCCCACTTAAACTCTGGTGGATCGGGGAACGTGATGCTCATGGCTCCTGTGATGGGAAGCTCATTCAGCAGCGGCGAAAAAACCAAGAGGAGTGGACCTCGCAATTGAATGTTTTTCATACCCACCGCCATACTTCCCAAAGATACGGCGATCTCTGAGCCAGTCGCATCCCAGTCCATCTGAATGACAAATTCCATGAGATTTCCCTTTGATCGGACTTTCAGCGAAGGGAATTTGGGCCGGTTGTCTCCAAACGAACATTGCGTAAATCTAAAGGTGTTGAGAAGCGGCACGTCTGCGTTGTTCTGCTGAATCGATTCCGTGACGGTCTCCAGCAACATCTTTCTGATTGATGCCTCGATGTACGCCCACATGCGGTCGATGGCTTGGTTCAACCACTCTGTCTCATTTGGACGGGCCTGGTAAAGTCGAAAGCCTTGCCTCAGGTGTCAGAAAGGGCTTTTGACAAGCAAGCAGTGCTTCAAGGGGCTAGGGATAGATGGGCGTAGGACAAGTGGGCACATGTTTGAGCTGCTGAGGCCAAACAAATCCGACTGGATCAGAGAAAAGGCTCGTGTTAATATCATGCTCAATTTAAGTCAAGCGGCTGTTCTGCCACAGACAGCGTTTTCCTCCCATGTTTCCCTTTGTGCTCCACGTGCAGCACTGATGGTCGTTCACTGAAGGGGTCGTGCCCTGGCGGATTGTCGGACGGCTCCAATGGCAGAGCATCCGCTCTTTCAGCGAGGCTGGCATGACAGCAAGCTGTCCCCATCGTCCCATCTGGCAACTCGCTCTGTTGTGGAACCCTCCTCGCTGCTGATGTGTTAGCTTTGAAAGGCTAAACGTGATACCATAAAACCCACATACGTTGCTCACTTCACAAAGAAAAAACATGCGTACAAAGCACAGCTTGACAAGTCGTCTCATTCGGATCGCTTTAGACCCTGCTCGCGGCTTGAGGAAGATTGCTTCCAGTGTTAGCCCCAGTTGGCAGGCGTAAGCCGCTGACATGCCGCTCCCATGTTCATCAAAGAGCAGCCCTCCCTCATGCATCGCTTGCCGAACTTCAGAGTCCAAAGCTTGTGGGCGATGGAATGCGAGTACTCCAAGTCGCACATGCAACTGCAAGCGCCAACATCCGCAACGGGACGAATTGAGTAAGCTATCCACCACCCACAGGCCGAAGCCCCCGCAATGGCACACAGCTAGGAGCTATGCCCGCAAAGCAGGCGGCGGTCGCAGCTGCCAAAGTGCCTGGGGAAGTCCGAGCGAAGTGCTGCGCACAAGCATCACTGGCAACGACTCAACCCAAATGAGCACAGAAATCCTCACTCAAAGCTGGAACTTATGCAAAATATTCAACCTCTGCCTCCCCCCGGTGTCCATTGATCAGCAGCAGCTGCTGCAGGCTGTTGTTACTACACTCAATCAATTAGTGCGGTATCCATCATTGTCTTTGGCCAAGCCTCTTCCCCGGTGCCCGCGACGACGTGCCCAGCAGGAACTACAGCAATGCGCCAGTCTTTGGCTTCTGCTCTGTGAAGCTCATGGGCAATGCTGCCATCCTTCAGACCTCAGAAGCCATTGCCCAATAGGCCAATAGGCAATAGGCAGCTTTCACAAACTGCTTTGGGCATCCCTTGGCCCGGTCTTGTAACTTTGTGCACGGTGGACATGAACTTCTGGAGCAACAAAATCAAACGATATGTAAACGACACATGTTTGGGCGCTGTCAGGGTACCCTAACCCGACCCGGCTGCATGGGGTCACATCAGCGAAAAGCCACCCGCTCGCAACTACCCGGGGAAAAAAAAAACAAAATCCCAGTGAGGCACGCGTTTCTGCAAACCCACGAATAAGAACGTTGACCCAAGCACAACTAGCGGACTCCACGAGAAGCAGAAATTGAGTTTGTTGCATTTGGACAAAGCGGCTCCTGACTTGCCACAAGCCACTTGCGACGACTCCAACTTAGCTGGAACACTTGGAGCATTGGTCCAGGCAACCCTGCGCGACTCAAGCATTGCGCCGCTCGCAAGCGAGGGACAAGCGTGCGACCATCCACAAGGCAGGAACTCGGAGACATAGCAGGCAATCTGCGTGTGTCAAATTGTCCACAGTGCGGCGTACACTTCAAGCACGAATAGCTGGTTTCATGATGGAACGATGGAACCCTCTCATGTTGTGTCTTTTCACACGTTTGGTAGCACAACTTCCTGCTAACAACCCATCTACACGATTTTACTCGCGCCCAGTGACAGGAAGTGCCCAGTGCCATCGGCATGACCATGTATATAGTACTTGCGCAACTGAGGTGCGACTCAAGCCAACCCTCAAACCCGGAAGCCGCACGTGAGCATAGACAGCCATAGAGGCTGTCGCAACCACCCCAACCCTGGATTCTGGTCCCGACGTGCACAAAAGGACCGCAATCTGCCCCCCTCCCTGTGTGCTGTTGAGCCACTAATGCGCTTGTACTTCAAGCGTTGGTCTTGGGTGCCTGTGGCTGGTTCGAGGTGCATGCTGAGGTTGCACATGCTTGCACTTGGAACCTTCCGAAATACGAGACTCAACTGCACGAGGCTTCTTCAGGCTGCATTCACAGCTGTGCCGGCTAACCGCGCCGTCGGGCCGAGGCCAGACAAAAGCTCCACTCCGTCTCCAAGCTCCCAGCCCTCTCGGAATTCCTTCCAGGAGGGTAGCTGGGCTATGCGCCTGGAAGGGTCTACTGCGGTCTGCTTGCCCTACCCTCGTTCTGTTGAAGGGGCCTCTGGTTGGCTACGCGATGGGGGTTGTGGGCCTTGGCACGTGGAATCTCAGGAGTCAACACATCTGGATATTGTCGGAGCCTGTGCGTGCCTGCGGCATTCCAAGGCTCCAGGCAACTTTGTAAGCACTGCGAACTGCCCAGTTTTGTTCCCACAATGGCCCAAGTCAGCAAAATATGTGACAAGCCGCCAGGCAAAGATTTTGCACAACAACTAAGCGTGGCATGAACGCAGCGCGAGCTACTGCCAAACGTAACACGTTGTCAGCAAGAAACCGTGTATCAAACCTGTGAACGTCCGCTAGGTCTCTCAGCCATGTTTCAAATTGGCAGCGCTTGCCGCTTGCTCCTCTGCCATCAAAGTAAAACAACAAGGCATAACTTAAAGCAACGCATGGGGGTTGATTCACAGGCCCATTGCAAAAACTGACCATTGGGGAAAACCACTAAGATGATATTTGCTAGGACTATTGACCAACCCAATGTGAATGCCGCTTGCTCCCAAGGCGGGCCTACCGCGCAGCGCAGGGCGAGGCACCCGATGCACGGGGCCTGTGTTCAGTCTCTGGCGATTGCAGCAGGCGCAGCAAACGGAACACCAAAAGTTCGATTGACAGATTTGACTCGGCTTCACATCCTTTGATTTTGTCAGCCTTGTGCCAAGATCGGCGTTGCCAATGCTCTACCGTACAGCCTTTCAAGAAGGTTGCTTGCAACGCCGAAAACTTAACACACTTTGTGTTTCTCAACTTTGATGCTGACACATCTTGGTTGCTGTTGACTCCCTTGCAAAAAGTTTAACTGTTTGTGGGTCCGCTGGAAAATCCACCGTTGCCCAAAAAAGTCAAGTCCAAAGATCGAACCAAATAGCAGTAACTGTACCTGGGTCATGGCTGTATCCGACTTCCCCTGCCTGGCCCGTAAGGCCGCAGCATGGCTTGCGCACATGTGAAGCCGACCTTCGAAGTCCCAGGGTTACCCGTTTCGGCCCGTTGGTCTCGTGGTCTGTGACTCTGAGACTTGCTAGTGCCAGAAATGAAAGACAACACAACACCACCAATCACCAGTAGTGATCATTCCGAGCTTCGATCTGTGACTCCAGCCGTCGGCTACTTCATACCCTGAGCTGGAAATGAGCTTCGATGCTAAGTGGGCAATCATGAAGGATCAAAGCTCCAGGAAGCAGCTTGGATTCCTTGCAGCGCTGCGGTGATTGTGAACAACAACTGCCAGGTAGCATTAAGAGCAGACATTGCGCAAATGAACTCTACGATTCTGTGGCCAACATGGTTGCTGAGGCATAACAAACAAAAAGGCTACCATTGCCAAGGTAGCAGTAGGAGAAAGATCGAGATGGTTCTTGGTTAGATCCAAATTAGGTTACTCAAGTTGTTCTTTTCACAAGCAGGCTTGGGAGATATCGCTGGCTGAATCATTCCAACATTCCCCGATAACAAAAGGATCCCTCATTTATTTCAGGCGAGCAAGCTCTCCAAATTGCACGTCGTACTTTTGTGCTCCGGTCAAATCACTCGAGCCGTGAGTTCGACCCACTGGCGCTCGTGCCCTCTCTGGCTGATCTCACTGTTGGTCAGCGAAGACAACACCTGTGCCAGTGGCACTTCTTGCGCATGCCAAGATGGCCCGTGGTGACTTGAGTACTGCAAGCCTAGAAAGGGGAAGCAGCGGAGCAACACCGGCCCACAAACCAGCAAGCAGCTCCAAATTAAAGGACCGGATAACCCCACATGCTATGTTTTTCCCAAGGATGTGAGTTCAAATGTCCACACACATGTACCGTGCGCCCCTTGTATGGATGCGATTACAGAGCACCCAGATGCACAGAATGCAGCGCTTGCCACGACTTCGGCAACGGCATCGCCAAAGTGCTGCGCCTGCCACGATTTCGCAACGGCATCGCCAAAGTGCTGCGCCTGCCACGATTTCGCACACCCCCCGCCGCGCGCGCGACAACATCCTGTCCCTCTAGACAGCTGCCGAATGCGACCCCTGCCACACAAACACACACCCAGATGCACAGAATGCTGCGCCTGCCACGACTTCGGCAACGGCATCGCCAAAGTGCTGCGCCTGCCACGATTTCGCAACGGCATCGCCAAAGTGCTGCGCCTGCCACGATTTCGCACACCCCCCGCCGCGCGCGCGACAACATCCTGTCCCTCTAGACAGCTGCCGAATGCGACCCCTGCCACACAAACACACACCCAGATGCACAGAATGCTGCGCCTGCCACGACTTCGGCAACGGCATCGCCAAAGTGCTGCGCCTGCCACGATTTCGCAACGGCATCGCCAAAGTGCTGCGCCTGCCACGATTTCGCACGCCCCCCGCCGCGCGCGCGACAACATCCTGTCCCTCTAGACAGCTGCCGAATGCGACCCCTGCCACACAAACACACACCCAGATGCACAGAATGCTGCGCCTGCCACGACTTCGGCAACGGCATCGCCAAAGTGCTGCGCCTGCCACGATTTCGCAACGGCATCGCCAAAGTGCTGCGCCTGCCACGATTTCGCACACCCCCCGCCGCGCGCGCGACAACATCCTGTCCCTCTAGACAGCTGCCGAATGCGACCCCTGCCACACAAACACACACCCAGATGCACAGAATGCTGCGCCTGCCACGACTTCGGCAACGGCATCGCCAAAGTGCTGCGCCTGCCACGATTTCGCAACGGCATCGCCAAAGTGCTGCGCCTGCCACGATTTCGCACGCCCCCCGCCGCGCGCGCGACAACATCCTGTCCCTCTAGACAGCTGCCGAATGCGACCCCTGCCACACAAACACACACCCAGATGCACAGAATGCTGCGCCTGCCACGACTTCGGCAACGGCATCGCCAAAGTGCTGCGCCTGCCACGATTTCGCAACGGCATCGCCAAAGTGCTGCGCCTGCCACGATTTCGCACGCCCCCCGCCGCGCGCGCGACAACATCCTGTCCCTCTAGACAGCTGCCGAATGCGACCCCTGCCACACAAACACACACCCAGATGCACAGAATGCTGCGCCTGCCACGACTTCGGCAACGGCATCGCCAAAGTGCTGCGCCTGCCACGATTCGCAACGGCATCGCCAAAGTGCTGCGCCTGCCACGATCGCCAAAGTGCTGCGCCTGCCACGATTTCGCACGCCCCCCGCCGCGCGCGCGACAACATCCTGTCCCTCTAGACAGCTGCCGAATGCGACCCCTGCCACACAAACACACACCCAGATGCACAGAATGCTGCGCCTGCCACGACTTCGGCAACGGCATCGCCAAAGTGCTGCGCCTGCCACGATTTCGCAACGGCATCGCCAAAGTGCTGCGCCTGCCACGATTTCGCACACCCCCCGCCGCGCGCGCGACAACATCCTGTCCCTCTAGACAGCTGCCGTGAGTCAGCGAGTGTGAGTGAGTGAGTGAGCGAGTGAGTGAGTGAGTGAGTGAATGAGAGTGAGTGAATGAGAGTGAGTGTGAGTGAGTGAGTGTGAGTGAGCGTGAGTGAGTGAGTGAGTGAGTTTGAGTGAGTGTGAGTGAGTGAGTGTGAGTGAGTGTGAGTGACTGAGTGTGAGTGAGTGAGTGTGAGTGAGTGTGAGTGAGTGTGAGTGACTGAGTGTGAGTGAGTGAGTGTGAGTGAGTGAGTGTGAGTTGAGTGAGTGTAGAGTGAGTGAGTGAGTGAGTGAGTGAGTGAGTGAGTGAGTGAGTGAGTGAGTGAGACGGAGACGAGCGGGAGAAGGAGGAGGAGACGCGGCGCGCGGACGACGAGCGGAAAAAGTAAGAACCCCACACAAAGATGTGGGGAAAAAATCAGCCGAAGGTGCGCGCCTTTTGATTCAGCCAGGCGGGCAGTGACTCGAGTGTCAAACTCTTTCTGCTTACCGAAGCACTGAGGCGCGGAGTTGCGATGCGCGGGCCTCTGGGCGACGTAAAGTCCATCGCGTTTGCCACATGCAGTGTGGCCTGGTGTCGCTAGGGGGTCCTTGGCCTCCTGGCCCGTGTCCGTCTTGTGGAGGTCCCTGCATTCTGGTCGATCACGCGTCACCTGCGCTTGGCGAAGCAGTGGGGTCAGTTAGAATTGAGGTTGCGGAATCTGACTAGCCCTGCGCTGAGACGCGTCAGTGTCGCTTGTTCCCCAAACAGCTTGCTATAGAGTTCGCGGTTGGCCTGTATGGAATGCACGCCTGTCTGCCAAATGCTCTCCTCGCCTCTCCGCGGCTTCCGAAACAAATCCATTTGTCTCCCAGCTTGCTTGTTGGCTGCACGCCACGTCGAGCAAACGGTCTTCCAACAATATGAAGTTATGTGTCTCCCGGCTTGGGGTGCTGGCCACCCAATCGCTGTTCAATCGTTGTAAGATTCAATCGATTTGAGTACTTGACGACAGCGCTCATGCAGAAGTTCCACCAAAACTCAAAACAACATCTTGCCTCTGTTTGCAACCGGCTCAGCCACTCCAGACATTGTAACAAGAGTTTGTGTTTCTATCTAATCAACATATTGTTGGGTATTCAACAGGCTCGTGGAATGTCTTTTGTGGCCAATTTGCCTCCCAGCTTGGCAAAGAGGCCAGGCACACTGGATGCTGCTGCGTCTCTTTCCCGTCTGAAGAACAATCCCATGATCCAATCTGTGTTGAGCTTAACCTGTTGTGGGTCTGAAATGCGCCGCACCAGCTGCCCACACTTGGCATCTGCCTGGAAGATCGCCTGCATCTATCTTCTTGCAGATTTCCTGGAGCTCCTCAGCCCAAGCATTCACACAGTAACTCCCACAGCAAGGCGTGAAAACCTGGTGCGGTCGCTCAACGAGCTAACGGTGCCTTTGAACACCTACAGATCGCGCAACTTGCATTCGGCATGTTCGGCCAAGTTTGTTTGTTTGCTTGTGACCAGCTGCCCACTCAGCCTTCCGTTCGCGTTGTTCGCATTGCGCACCAGGGCACTCCAACCAAGTCGGATAGCGGCCATCTGTCTGGGATGTACGAGAGCAAGTCTTGGCCTTTAGCCCCGGTCTGCCGCAGCCAGAATTCGGCCTGCGAGGCCACAGCTACTCGTTGCCAACTGTCCAACCTCTTTGAATAGAAGACCGCTTGCATTTCAGCATCCTTTCAGGCGAAGCTGGCTTCATAGACAGCTGTGCCTCATGTTTGATAGCCTCTGAATCTTTGAGCTGTGCCTTGGTGCATTGACATATCATGCCTAGCTGGGTTGCAAACCCCATACGAAAACACACTTGTCGTGGGCTCTCCAGCACTTGACTCCGATGGCACGGCTCGGGGCGTAAACAATAATTCCAGGACGCCATGCATTGGGATTTAAACATATGAAGCGTAAGCTTAAGATATAGTTTTCCCAAGAATCCAAGATGTAGAAGTATAAAAAGCCAGACAAATGATGCACCGTCAGAATGAAAATAACGAAACCACCATCCACCACATATTTGACAACCTGAAATAGAATATCATTTCCTAATGAATAGCGTAACAGTTGCGACTTGGGTAAGAGGTTCCGCTCGTGCAGAACTCCCGCCTTGTCAGCGCGCCGTGCCCGGAGCCAGGAGGCCGCCACTAGGCCGCAGGCCTTGGGGTCCGGGGGCTCCGCCGAGGCGAGCCACTCCCGGCCCATGGCTTCAGCCCAAGAGAAGTCGCCCTCCTCCAGGTAGTCCTGGGGGCACTGGGGTGTCTTGAAGGCCTGCACCCAGCATCAGCCTCAAACAAGTGAAGGTTTCCGGGCCCAAAGGCCAAGGTGAGCCTGGATAATCATGGTCATCAGCCCAAAGCCCTCGGATACCTCCTGCACTGCAGCAACCGCCTCATCTGCCAAGTCCAAGTGGCTCGAGTCGCCACCGTCCTGCCCATCAATGCAGATCCGCTCTAGATCCAAATGAAGCTTCCATTCACAGGCACCACTGTGGAATCATAGCTTGAGAAAGACCCGGCTAAATGAAGCCAAATGACACCCACTCACAAAGACTGGCTCAAGCTGCCAACCCTCGGCCTCAGGCGGCACCTCCGGCTCTGCCTCTTTGGCCCGCCGTGCTCCACGGGACGCACAGGCCAAAGCTGCAACCAACGGCAGGCGCTCCCAGTGCCGCAGCTGCTGCCGAGGCCACACGGCGGAAGCACAAGGTCCAGGACCAGGGCACCTGTGCAAGTGAATCGACTGAAACACACCTGATAGATGCCGACAGGTGCTGACTGGTGTTGATCCGCGAAAACGCCTTCAAAAGCCCGACTGACGAGGCGTCCGCGTTTGCTCCATCGCTTCAAGCTATCGCACACGCATTGCAAGGATGACTCAGGATGACTATGGACGACTCACATCCGCCAAGATTTCGGGGGGATGGCCGCGCGCCTGGAACTCGAAGCTGCCAGGGGACATAGCATGTGCTGACCGGTGCGCTGTGGCTCGCTCAGATGCGCTATGGGTTTCCATGCAAGGGGTGCCAAATATATGCACGAGTGCATGGACAAGTTGTGTTCACAGCATGCCTGCCCCTAAAATGACTACAGTAGGCCACGCTATCAATGAAATGGGGGTCACAAGTGGCAGTTGCGTGTGCATTCAGCAGGCCAAGCTTGCTTCTGCATCTGGGCAACGTGAGGTCTGGCTGGAGATGTATCTGATGAAGGGGCTAGTTCTCGTAAGTCTGCTGCCTTGTTGCTAATGAGCTGAGCGGGTGCATGCATCTCACGGTGTGAATCTTACTCCCATGTCCAGAAAGCTGACTTGGGTGACTACTGGCATCCGGTGTGTGAAGAAGATGCGGCGGAACGATGACGGAACGGCAAACAACCGATCCGTGTCGATAGAGCAAACAACCCAGCATGTGAACGGACAGCCAGCACCTGAACGGTGTTCTCATGAATATGCGTCAACGTATTCTGCGCCGATGAAAGCTTGACCAAGCACCACCACAGGCCACCTAAACCACAAACCAACAAGTTTTTACCGTCCTGAGCTGCTACATCTCGTTTGGCTGAGCTCAGTTCTGCCCAACCTCTCCCTTGTACGAATTTGCCCACAACCGCAAGAGCCCAGCGAAAAAAGTTCGGGGCAAATCGGGAAAAATGACGCCACCCTCTCCAACTTCTAAGCTTGAAGCAACACCAACCCGCCCAGCCGACCTCTCACCCTGCCTTCCCGGCGCAGGGCCTCCACCACAGCCTGGGGAAACTGCTCCGGCTTCAGCACCGACTTTGGTACCAGCCTGCACGCCAAAGACCAACGAGGCAACATCAGTAAAACAAATCTACAAAGGGACAAGGCGCTTGCACTGGTGCCCTGCTTTCTGGAAAAAACCGTAGATGCGCACATTTGGCAAAACAAACTATACAAATACAAAGGATACATCAAAGGTAGCGGATTGAACAAGGTCACCAGGTGGAATAACGACCTCCTCAAGGAAGAGCTGTTCTGTTCTCGGGCTTTGGAAGATCATGAGAGCAGCAAGCACCGAAATTGCCAAGAGTAGAGATCAAGCAAGCATAGAACTGATGGGTATGGGTTATTCATTGCCGTTCTTTGCCCGAAGCAGCAGGCCAGCACGTAGCCAACCCACATCTGGCCACACATAGCTGGCAGAGATCTTCGCCTGAAGGTCTTGTTGTCGGCCGTCTGGATCTCAGTGGCTGAGATATGACACGCAGAATCCACCGCCTTTAAGATCCCAAAAGGCTTCAAAGCTTCCCAAAGTGCAGAGTGGAGGTGCTTCAAAAGCAAGCCTACTCAAGACACATTGCTCAACCTTTCTGACCGGATGCCGGCTCATAAATTCTGCGGAGCTAGGGCGCAGTGCTGGAATATAGCAACCGTCCTCCTCATCAATGATCATTCGCCTTTCAAATGCCACACGGCGAGCAGTGGGCATCTCTTGGCTCAATCTCAGGCGACTGGAAAGCGAAGGGTGGGCTTATAAAGATACTGTGGATGGACACAATCCTGTAACACTTAGTAATTGGTTTACCCATGTTTATTCCACAGTTAACAGCGATTTGTGAAGGATCTTGTCCATCCAGCACGAAGCAAGGGTCAGGAATGCGCGAACATGTGCTAATCACAGGCTGAGGTCAGAAAAAGTGGCTCTGCTCAAAACTCCTCAAAAGTCCCCTTCTCGTTGGCAGTGCCTCTTGACATGCTCATTACTGACATGCCCACACGCAAGTCAGCACATGTCAGCACCAAAATCCTCTCCTGGCGCTGTAGCAAGTGTTTGTGCTGGCGCTCGACTTAAAACTCCCGGCCTCATCTCTAAGGCTTTCTTTTCATCTTCCTCTGCCTGGTTGAGCTTGGCCAATGACGGGCAACTCTGGCACGAACTCATGCAACTGCCACTACTCCCAGCGCGTGTCCTTTAGGTGCCCTCATGACCGACGCGCAATTGCGGTCTGCAACAGGGCATTCTATCAAAAGAACGTCTGCCACACGGCCTGTCGGTGCCATGGGTTTGGCAGAAGGCGAGTCATGGCAGCAAAGCGAAACACAAATGCGATCAGTCCCGAGCTGGTTCAATGACCATCCCTTGTTGAATGTTTTTTTTATTTGCGCATTCTAGTCTCGGCCTAATTTGTGGGAAGCCGGCATGGCAACAGCGCTGCGAAGCTGGAATACAGTTCTGCCACTGGCACGTCACGATCGAACACGACCCGCAGCTGCCATTTTCACCGCGAAACCAAACGCTCATCTGGCACAAAGTCCGGGGCCAGACCTGGCAGGTGGGAAAACATGCCAAACTTGGCATTGCTTTGACAAGGCTTTGGCATAGTCGGTTTCGAGTGGGTTTAGTGGGTTGTGCTTATGCGACTTATGCGTGATTGTGCTAGTTTCCTCACTCATTTGGCAGGGGACGCCCAAAGGCAACGCAGGCATGCGAGTCAACTGGGTTTGTTTCTCGCGCGTGTTCGCATGAGGCACCTTGCCGGGATGGCACCGCACCATTCCTGCCAAGACACGGGCACCCAAGTTCTGCAGTTTCTTTGCTGCGACCTTGGCGTGTCACGGCCAACAACCAGGGCCAAAAAGCATGTCCAACTCACAGCCAAAACTCCGCCATGCTGCGGATGCAGTAACGGGCGTCGAGTTGGGGTTGTCAACCACGTCAACGTGTTACCTAGCCCAATCAAAGCATGTTTGCCCTTGGACAATAACCCGTTTCACGTGGCCGTGTTAGGTTCCGTGAGGGCATCTCTCCCTTTGGGGTGGTCATCTTCTAGTCAGGTGGCTAGTTCTGTGTCATCTTTGTTAACACTTCTTCGCGGTATGTTTTCTGGGAGCGCAAAAGCTTCATTGCTATGTATTCATTGTTTGTTTTTGTTCTGACATCCCTGACTACTTTTGACGTTTTCGATCTGGGATTTTGCCACTTTGATGGCACAAAAGCATCGAAACGGTCGTTTCGATCCTGCCATCAAAACGAACCCCCCGTTGTAAACGACAAAAAACACAACTTTCCCTGCAAGTCCTGGGCCCCCCGCAGATGCGCCGCTGGCCAGCGCACAAGCTGGCGGCTTCCCAGCCAGCCAGGCGTGAAGGAAGCCTGGCGAAGCTTCCGCAGAGGGATACGAAGCATCAGCTCCCCCAAACCAATCCAAACCGCCAACTAAGGGTTACCTGAAAAGGAGGGTCGTTGAGGAAACAAGCTTTCTAAGAATACAATCAACTTGTGGGGGGCGATTCAGTCACTTAAGATCTTTTGGCGGTCACTTCCTGCCTACAGCCCCCGAGCCCCGAGGCTCCAAGCCGCGCGCTCCCCGCTTTTCCCTCAAACCTTGACAACCCGATTGCGGTCGAATTGAGCAGCTTGGGTCCGTTTGGAGGCACGAAGGGTCACCTTGCCAACAAGACGTAGCCAAACTACTACAATGGCAAACACTCAATAAATCATGCCATGTTATGCTTGAAACAAGCGCCTTCATGCGGCGAAACGGATTCTGCATGTTCAACACATGTCACATCCTCTGGGGCGATAGGCTTTGATCGCGAAACGCATGGCCAGCACAGGTTCGAGACCTGAGTTGCCGGAAGCTGCCACGGTCGCGGGCAAAGCTCTGGCGTTGCGTGAATCCTGCATAGCCAAATCCGCATTCTCAAACAATGGTAGAACAACCTAGCTGCCTACAGAATTGCACAGTAAGCCAGTAAGCCATGCCTTGGTTCTTTCAGTCGGTCGAAGTCTACGCAATGCTTTGGCTCGATAGGCTCGATATCTCCAAATTCTCCGCGGTTGGCGTACGTTGCCTGCCTGGATCTTCTGCAACGGGCCCCGGAACATGGTTGAACTTGAAAGGAGTGCACTTGCCCCAGGGCGAATGCACAAAGCTGCTGGACGGCCTGGCCTTGCACTTCAGGTTTCTGGCGATGGCACGTTCAAAGTTTCGTAACTCCATCGAACACGACTTTACAAAGCTAGAGAGAACTTGTGGGAATTGAGCATTGCTGTTCTCAGGGGAAGTTCTGTGCGCAAAGGGTCTTGGAGGTGTGGCTGG